CCTTCCGTAAATTCAATGCTGTTTCATGAAAAAAGTTCTTAGAGAGCTCGGAGACGTCTCATTTTGTCCAGAAATCTTTGCTCTATTTGAATAAACTAATGATAAAAAGTTCAATTATATTTGTACACAAGAAAGTCAATAAATACACAGGGGGTAAGTTTTTTTTGGATCACTCTGTATAAAGCTCAGTAAATGTTCTAAAACCCAACAGAAAATACGTTGGTTTTTGCCATGAGATTTAGCAGGATATAGTTAAACAGATAAAATCGATTATACATTGATATTTTCGAAGCAGTTTGAATGAGTTTTGAGTAAATTAAGTATTTTTTATCTTCGGTGCAAATAATGGAAAATGGATTATTTTACCTGGTATCGATTTTCACTAGGATGATCAAGCGTTTTCGGAAAGTAAGTACACGTGTATGTAAATAGTAGGTCGACTTATCGTATATGAGAGATGGGAAATGAGTGACTATGCCTAAATAACTTCATTTTCGAAAGAATTGCAATCCATATGTACCGTTTACATTGGATTTTTTTTAAAATTGATACTGTCTGAACCATAGCAAAGAGCCAGAAAAGGATAGTTTTCGTACTAACAGGTCACTACTGAAGGGGACCGAAAAATCAAAAATTTTAAAGTTACATAACGCTTTTCTCCATTGTACCCTTCCAGGTTCTCAAAGCCTAGGACTGTAAAAGTTCCCGTTACGTTGATTTAATAGTAACTGCTGTTTTAGTTATCGTTAAAGTGACGATAAATGTCAGTTAGTTAACTTCACAGTAACTACTATCCGTTTATAAAAGAATGGCCACCGGCATTTTCTGAATAACATTTTAACGGGAAAAGCTAGAGCGATGCGGTTTTCACTGCTAGATAGAGGAGCTGACGGTTTCAATAGTGTAGAATTTGGTTTTGTAATTGCGGCCTGCATTATATATTGCAATATGTATTAGTGTTGTGATATGTCGGTAGCATAGTGGCAGAGAATTTATCGTGAGAATAAGCGTCATGGATTCTATTCCTAGTCAGTGCATGTGTTTTCTTTTCAGTTTTTACATGACCTAGAAGACTGAATTGTTGTATGAAAATTCGGCGGCGTTCCTTAGAAAGTGTAATGTTCTGTATTATTTAGTTAGTTGTACTGAAAATATTCACGTGCTCGGATGAGTAAGATTGTAGTTGTTAGAACAGAAGAATAATAAGAAACGAAAAGAATTTAAAAGTATTAATAACAGTTTAGTGAAAGACTAAGTCACTCAATATATACTTTATGCGAATACTTTAAAGTACTGAATCTCTATTCACAATGAACATAAATAATCACGAGATCAGTCTCTGCTGTACCAATCGTCTGGAAAGGAATCAACACCGGCCAATGAATACACTATGGTTACAACTTTTTTTATCTATTCGAGTTTTTCCACAACACGTACCTTCTGGTGGTCGTATTTGCAATGGATGTGGTTTATTGTTCTTCAAATGGAAACATTCATATCCCGAATATACTCATGTGATCGAATATGTTGATAGTAATTGTGAGAAAAATGAAGAAGAACAAGGAAAGATAAGTCGGTTTTATATAAATACTGAGTATCATTTTCTTCACTTATGCGGTGTTGTATTGGATGACGATAACGATTTCGAAATGAAGATTGATTTTCCGCCAATCGATCGAACGCCAAACACAAACATTGCCTCATGAGTCCGATTTCATGTTCGTTCCTTATGTATATATTCCAAAATCGGAGTATACGGAGTTACAAAGTCATCCAGAAGTGCTACTTATTCCTTTCGTTGGTTTATCAATGAACGTTTCAGTTACATCCATAGGTGTGTTAAACTGTAGTGAAAAGCGAGATGGCGTTCCATTGTTTATGTTGAATCTCATGATTTTTAGTATGTGCTGTATTTGTCAAGAAGAAATAGCTGCGCCCTCTGTGACAATATCTGAGAGCGAACGAGAGCGTGTTTTTTCTGTTAAAAATATCGTTATACCACTAGGAACTCGAATCAGACATATTCGAGACATACATGTCAGACAAGTTTTACGATCGTGTTTAATGAGAATACGGCATACATACGACCGTATATGGCACAAATACAGCGTTGTATACAGTGACCAGGGTTACGCTAAAATACGGCCCATTTTCGTACCGTATGCCACCGTAAACGGCCGTGTACGGCGAAGTTACGGCGAAAAATACGAATAGCCGTAACCATCGTCCCGGGTAGACTAGATCGATTTCGAATGAATTATGAATTTAGTTAATTTACGGTGAAAAATGCATTATTTAGCATAGTATAGGTTTCCACTCGATTTTTGAAGTTTTTCTAAAAACAAACATTATTCCGAGGTTTAGAATAGTCGAAAACCTATACTCAATTAACTTCAGAAATTACCAAGCATCAAGGTCGCCTGACAGGGGTGTCTTCGGAGAAATTCTGGCACACCCGAACGGTGGCAGATGGAGGTCTCGGATTTGCGTGGATGTGGAGCATAGATATCAGTGTGCGTCCTGCATACTCTGAAACTATAGGTTGCTATGGGCCAAAGCAGTTGCAACCCAGGAAACGGCAGCTGGTGTACCAAAGATCGAGCTGGTACACCTCCTGCAGACAGGATCTTGGACTTTATTTTTTCACCGATAGATTTCCCTAGTGTCTTCTGTCTACTAGCGAAAAGCGCACCTATCAAACGTTATTTTGAAAAGAGTTTTCTGCATTATATTTTTTAATAGACAATAATAATCACTTGATCAACATGCGCTGGATATTGTGTATTTTCATGTCCATGTATGCCATTCACAGATGTGGTTTGATCATTTTGTAAAATAAAGAATAAAAAAATCCACAACTTTTATTAACCGAACACATTCGCCACTCACTATCATTCTGATTTTGACGCTGACGATGGTATAAATTTTTTTAAAATGCTGTTGCTTGCTGCCGCATCGCTTTGAGTTGTTTTATGAACAGATATTCATGCAAATATTTCAACAAATTTCGATGCAATATTCTGTAAAAAAAAGATTGTCTACCTATGCTTGTTGGCTTGATGAGGAGAAAATAATGCTACATCTTGTTCGTTTGCATGATTAATATAAAGTATTTCTTCGTTTCTCCCACTGCGCAAAAAAAAGAAAACGCATTGTACCCCCGAAGAAGTGTATCCATACCTCTGAAATTCTTATGAAACAATAGAGCATATACGATAGATTCTATTGCTACACCCCAACCGAGGTCAGGTAGCACAATGGTAGTGCATTGGTCTAATAAGCCAAAGGTTGTGGGTTCGAGCCCCATCTTGACCATCAACTTTTTTTCTTGTGTTTCCTGATATAAATACATTGAAAAATAACCGCAGATTGTTCAACTATCGCTGCACTGTCCCGGAAAAGCATACTTTTAGAAAAAGCACACTTAAATTGTGCCAATGGCATGGAAAAAGTGTGCCAGAGTATGCTTTTTATGTGCTGCTAGCATGTTTTTACCGTGCCATTGCCACATTTCTAGTGTGCTTTCGGCACACTGTGGTAGTATTTTTGGACGCTTTTTGTGTACCACTTCTAAAAGTGCACAAAAAGCGTCCAAAAATACTACCGCAGTGTGCCGAAAGCACACTAGAAATGTGTCAGTGGTACGGTAAAAGCATGCTAGCAGCACATAAAAAGCATACTTTGGTACACTTTTTCCATGCCGTTGGCACAATTTAAGTGTGCTTTTTCTAAAAGTATGCTTTTCCGGGACAGTGTGCTGAGCATTTGGGATTCATCAGCCTGTGAAACGAATCGTCTTACCGATGAATATCTGTTTTTTCTTCTACATTAGCATGTAAACAGAGGAACTTTCAACAAAATTTCGATAAAAGCTCACCTGAAGGTCTCCAAAATTTGATTCTAAACAACTTTCATCCGCACACTTTTGCATCATAATGCTTCGTTCGAGCGAAATCAGTTGTGAGGCTTATTCGAACAACTTCCTTTCGGTCCCCTGGGGCTTCACCAGTGAGTTCCACGTCGATAAACCTCCACCGGTGATCCTATGAGGACTACCAGGGGAGTCGCTTTTGATCACCTTAGTCGACACTCCGCAGAACCTCCTGCCAACTTTTCATTCACCTTCTGTTTTTGCAGATAGACAACGTAAAAATATAATACAGTTCTCTGATAAAATTTTACGAATTTTCTTCTAGTTAGTTGTCACTAACGTGACAGCTTTTGCTGGCTGATATGTGTTACACTGGCACCACTGATGGTACCTCAACCTTAAGTACCATATGTAATAAAACTATATGAGTCTAATCAGTTACTCTTAGTTCTGTTGCTAAGTCTCCCTCACTCCCAGGCGATCTACCAGACTCTCCAAGAGACCACCACGAGACTGTTAGATCACCATGGTGATCTAATTCCTTTAGAAGTCCATCAATCTCCCTTCCACTCGTTTGGGGACCATGTTACGTGGTCCTGCGGGATCCCCTGTTAGACTCCGCGGTGGCTTTTGCGGACTGTCGACTAGGGCGGCTTCTACAGCTTCTTTCTTTAGACAAATGAGTGAAATGATTCACTACGTATTCTTCTACGAATAATGATTTATTCAAAAAAAATGTAAACAAAACATATTAAGGTGTACAGAAATAATTTTTTTCTAAACAAATCTGCTCTAACTTTTTTCAGTGAAAACAGCGAGATATTATGTCTAACTTTTATTCATCGATTCTTCAAACAACGAGGTTACTTAGTACATTGTTACTGTTTATAGCGTCTATTCTTGCTTTGTTGTACTCATCACGCAGTATCTTATGTCTCATTTGTATTTGTTTAAAGTCATTCAAAATGTTTCGGCACACTGGTTTTGTGAAACCTGACTTTGCTGCTGCCAGCCCCTCTGGTGAATTATCAACAGTTACTAATGAACTCGATCGACTTCGAGACAATGGTAAACCTAGTACATCTTCTTTTTCTTCTTTTGAAGAATGAAATAAACCTCTCGTTATCCATGTGAAAAAATTCGAAAATGCACGATGGCCTTTTCTTAAAATATTATGATCATGTTGAAATCCCCATACTTTTGTATGATAGTTTCTCAGTTCGGATTCGTCAATAGCTCCACCAGCAGTCAGTACTTGAGCGACGGGAAGCGAAATTTTCATATCATAATCTGGTAGATAGTAACGAGCTGCATAGGTCGATTCAAGATCACTTGACATGTGATAGAGAGGTAAATTATTGTGAAATGATTTTACAGCTGCTCCTACGCCATCCTCGTTCTTTATCTTGTTTGCTAATTTTTCTGCAGCTGCCTTGACTTCGGGTGTTAATGCAAATTTAAAAGCCTCAAACAAATCATTGGCATTCAGATGTTTACCCGGTAGTGGTTTTGGACCTGCATTACTCTGAGCTACCATCGCTCCCCAAAAATATTGATCCCCGAAAAATGGAACAATAATAGTCGGTTTACCTAGTCGGAGCCCGGCAGCTGTGGTTCCAGCACCACCATGATGACATACAGCTGCAACATATTGAAACAACCAGTCATGTGGACAATCTTTGATGAGATAAATATTAGCCGGTATCTTTGAATTTTCATTGATCCCTGCCCAGTCGCCCAATATAACTGCTCTAAACGAACCACGTTCTAATGCTTCAACAACAATTTCATACAAATGTTTAGAATTATGACCCGTAATACTACCAAAACCAATATAAAATGGACGATCACCATTTTGTAAAAACTCCACCAGTTTTGTAGGCGGTTTATAGTCTTTCGATTTTTCAAGAAAAAAGAATCCACTTACATCAATGTGTTCACCCCAATCTTCTGGTTTAGCCACAAGACAAGGTGACCAACAATACGTATGTGGAACATGTTCGTCAACAATCAAATGTATTGCTTTTCGTGTATGTAATTTTTCGAGTCCTAGTGTGTTTTTACGAAAATTGTTAATTAAATCACGCATTGCTGACCATGTTAACATTTCTACGACTTGATATGATAAAAGATTGATTTTTTCTATCGCATGCCATTTTGTATAGTCGACTCTACATAGGGGATGTGGAAACGCACTTGTTGGTGACCAAGGCATTGTAAAACAAATATGTAGAGGAATATTTAGTTTTTGTGCACAATGAATATGTCCGAATGTTGGTGGATTTGAAATGATCGCTTCAGCAATGAATGGTTCTCCTGTCTTATTATCTGGTTCAGTGCATGCTCGCCACGTTGACTTTAGAATTTCAAATAGTTGTTCTCGATTTTTCTGTATATCACCTGCAAAAATACTACTCACCGATGGAATGATGCCAGCATTTTTAACCATAAAAGACATTAAATCAGCTGGATCACCACCAAGTGGATAAAATTCTAGATCATTTTCACGTACAAAGTTTTCAAATGTTTTATGTGTAGCTAAACGAACACGATGTCCGACTTTCAAGAGTTCTTTGCCGAATGCAATAAACGGCTGAACGTCACCGCGGCTACCTACGACCATAATACAAATTGTTAAGTGTGGTATCGATTGGTAAAGTGTTAAACGATCACGTTCATTAGGATCTTTGCCGTGAATGAGTGTTTGACTTTGCTTTTGAAGTTCTGATAAATATTCGTTTCGACATTTTTTATCTTCATTTATACAAAGATCAATGCGTCCCTCATTCGTTAAACTCGCTGTATATTCCAGCGGTATATGATGTTTATGTTTAACCGGTATTTGACCAGAATATATTGTTTGTCCATGTGTCGAATTTAATGTTAACGTTGTCTCATCGGTAATTATCAAACGGACTTGTAAATGAAGAGTGTCATTTACAACACATAAAACAACTAAATTTTTCTCTTCAAAACGAACATATTGTGTTATATCTAACGATGAACACGATAGAAAACTACCATCGTTTAATATCTTTATATTATTAATCCAGATATCAACTGTTATCTGGTCATCTTGATCGAAATATAAGTAATAAAATTTTTTCTTGTCTTCAGGTTCATTATTTAATTCAAAATATTTACGATACCAATTGTATATTGGTTCAAGTTGTTCTTGTTTATGGGGAAGTGAAACTCTTTCCCACTGTTGATCATTGTATTCTGTTGATGCGATATTATTATCAGCAGAACTTTTTTGTAGTTGTTTAAATAGCCACTCTTTATCAAAATTGACTACTAATGTACTAGGTATATCGTCTTTTTTATGTGACATTGTCTATATCCCTAAAATGAATAACATTTGATTTAAGTAAAACTGTAGCTTTTTTTAGCGCTTTTTTTCGACATATGTTTCCACTCTGTTCCTTTTTTGCAATGATATGTAACACCTGAAAGTTGACGTGGACTATTTAGCTTATTTAGGATTATTAAATTGTCATTTGATACTTACATTTATTTCAAATGACAGATATACTGATTTTGAACTTGCCCTCGTTCTCTACAAGAACAGCACTACATTTGCAATATACAAGACAATAAATGTCATTTTTCACATTTTTTATCTTTTCTGCTTTTTCCTCACACTTTTTCTTCTTCTATATTCTACTTTACTTGCGATGTTGATAGTCGGTCAGTGGCAAAAATATAACAATCTGTTTTTTTCAGTTAAACATTGTGGTCTAAACCACGCGCTTTGTTCAATCAAAAGAGTCTTGTGCAATTTATAAAAATTGTTATGTTCAGTTAAAAAAAGAAGAATTTTGACAGAAAGTGTGAGTAGGGAAAAAAACGACGACAATGGATTCTTCTCTTTTTGTCCTTTTCTACACATTTACGCACATGAGAACACCATATAGCACATGAAAAATATTCTAGTCTATCTCCTTTCAGAAAAAATAGAAAGAGAACAAAACAGATGTTTCAATAAAAAAAGAAGATTTGTTGACATAGACGTCGTGAAAGAACAAGAGATCTGTTGAACGATGTCTGTCGCAAAAAAATAGAAATTATAATCATTTTATATTAATAGTGATGCTGTAGAAAAATAATAGCATTTGAGAAAGAAAGTGCCATATTGTAACTGAATGGAAAAGGATTTCTATGTGATCGAACAATCTAATTGTTCATTGCACAAAATAATCATATATATCGTCTTCAAGACTGGCTCGACGGAAGGACTACCTCTACCAATAGAAGCTTTTTCTTTTTTCACATTAACTCAAAATAATCATATATATCGTCTTCAAGACTGGCTCGACGGAAGGACTACCTCTACTAATAGAACCTTTTTCTTTTTTCACATTCACTCTGTCAGAAGAAACATCTTCGATGCAATCGATTTAAAAACTTTTGTCGACAACTGAATAAACATGAAAGAAAGACGATTCAAGGTCAAATAACAGTTGTTTTGTATAGATAGCTATCAGCAAAAATGGTGCAGTCTGTTATGGATATGAGAGACTACTATCCAGGAAAAGATGCGTAATGGAATTGTTTATCGACGAAAAAAACGGTCAAGATATCCTTTAACTCAAGAACATTTAGAGGCGAGTAGTGAGAAATACATGATTTTCTCTCCATTTTAACAGCTTTTGCGTGTAGTAGCTTAAGAAGATACAGACAGTTTTACTTGAAACTTATCGATTAACATCGTCCTTATTATGCTTCATAAGACACGCGCTGACAAATAAAAAATTTGCTAAGTCTATTGGACTATTTACTCAATCGACTGGAGTCGAAGTAAACTGGATCCAGTTTGAGTTCATACCACTCCGCTCTCTAACTTGAAAAGGAACATTTTTGTTCAATGAACTGGGGCCTGTTTCTTAAAAAAACTTAAGTAGAAAATCTTACTTAAATCAAAAAAGACAAAGACTTTTTTGGACTTAAGTTTGACTTAAGTAAGATTTTCTACTTAAGTTTTTTTAAGAAACAGGCCTCTGGTAGCGTACACTTAATCATCATTCTAACCCAAATGCCTGCGAATTAATCAAGCGTCTAGAAAACCGTCATTCGATGAGAACTTTTCATTGAAACTCAGTTGCTATTACTTACCCTTGCTATAAAACAGTACAATCATCTTTCTTTGGAAAATTGCAAGTAAATGATTTCAACAGCCTTGCACTTCCTACAGAAACAGTAGCTTTAGTCCAAATTTAACTTTTAAAAGATCTCTAAAAAGAATTTAAACCTAAGCTAGTCTTTCTCTAAACTCTTCGTCATCAGTATTCATTTTCTTTAATTGGATTAAAATGTGTGCTTTATTTTTATCCGCCAATGATTTTTTTAAACGAAATAGACGATCTAATTATGCATTATGCATTCCATACTCGACAATTAAATGACATATAACTGAACGCCATCGATTAATATACATTTACTCGCTCAAATTTGTCCGCGTTAGCTAGTATGGGATGAATAAACTTTTCAGCTTTCCAGCATATTCTCCTTGTTGTACAAACTTTCACTCCTTGTTGTTATAAGCTTTATTGAAAAAGAAAAAAGAAAAAGTTAGAAAAGATCAGTACAATAATGAGGAGGAAGAGGCGAACCCATTGCATCTTTACATCATTGACTGCGAACAAAGGACAGGACAAGAAATACATATAAAAACAAGTGACAAGGACAACATAAAAAAGATAAGTACAGACAAAATAAAGAGTGAAGAAATAGGCGTACGAGAAGGGAAATAGGAGTTAGAATCGTTGTGTGCCTTTGATATAAGTTGATATAAGCTTTATTATATTATGTAATGAAGAGAAGAAGAAAAAAGAAAACAACTACTGGATGGACATATGGCTCCATCCACTCCTTGTTCTTCCTCTTTCAGAGGAATTCAGGGGAGAAGTTACACAAAACTTAATTTTCTTAAGTGAGAACGAGAAAATTTGTTTCCATCAGCACAAGAAGTGTTGTTTTCTTTTTTCAACAAACAAAAAATTTATTACTCTGCCTGGTGCCTTACATTCGACAGAAATATTCCACTTCGTGTTTGTTCAATCAGTGCTAACGTAGACTTCATGTTGATCGAATTCAACTACTGTTTCCGCTAGACTTTGACTACGGATATTAAAATAGCCGCCATTTTCATTCCCCCATACCCTATACTACACCTATTACATGATAATCGTCTTATCTGTGGTGGGTTGTTTTAAGAAAGATGAGAATACCCATCCGCCAAATTATTCGAAATAACGAGAGAATGACGGCTTGTCCACGTAACGCGACACTTCACTGATCAAATTTTTTTTATTTTTTTTCATCGGAAAATCGATAGAGGCACATCACTAGACGCAGCTTTCCATGCTGGTCACGAATCTGACTTTTGTTTTGAAGAAAAAATTAATTTTGAATATAAAAATTTTAAAAACATACCATTGAATAGAGAATTCAATTCTTTACAAAATGGATCATTTTGTTTTGAGATCTATTTTTTACTCAAGACACAGTGGCTGCTGGAACATTTCAACTTCTGCCCTCGTCTGAAAGCTTCAGAGAATTTTTCGAACTTTATTTTCAACTGGAGACTTCTCAGGAAATCTAGAACTACAGACTATCGGTATGAAGTTTTTTCAACAACGTTTAGTGACTAAAAATGGCGCGACAAACAAGTTACGACAAACAGCGTTACGTTTAGATAATTTTATCTACCATAGCAGCACTAAGGGCAGAAAAACAAGTATAAATCATCGTATAAATAGAGGTCGTCTGTATACTACTCGTTAAGAGTGATACTGACCGTTAAAGTATTGCACAACTTCAGTCGTTGTACATGATTTATGACAGAACGTCAAAGTTTACTTTTGCAGTATTTTTCTGCATAAGTGAAATTTGTTCCGTTGTCTGTTGTTCGTACAAGGATTGTCTTTGTATGATAAATCTTTGCTGCATATTCACTCATACATTGAAGCGTTACGTTTGTTTTTTGCTTTTTTTACGCGAGTAAAAATAGTTAGAAAACTTCTTTACCGCTGAAAAGCTGGTTTGATGCTCTACAAAATTTGCTCTAGGGACATTTCATTTGGAGAACGACTTTCGCAGAAAATTAGAACTTTAGCAAGAGCACTCCGAATTTCTATATAATAGCGTTACGCGATGAAAAACCTTTCTCCAAGCTAGAGACTTCAACCAAAAAACTTCGTTTTTATAGCATAAATAGAATATGATGAGTTGCGTCGAATGGCGTTTCAACGAACTTTCCGAGATAACTGAAAAAAAGTGTGCCAGAAACGTAACAGCGTTACGTTTGTACAAGCCGATAAACGGTAAATGCAAGTAAAAACGACGGAACAAAAGAAATCAAAATTAGTTCAGTGATATTATTGCTTAATAAATAATTTTTATTTTAAGTTACCTTAACATAGTTTTCGAATAGATTGCCTAAGAATCTGAAACACTTAGATGACTCATTTTACTTCTCAGATGTGTTTTGATTAAGTAATTACCAAGAACTTTTCTCGATAATTTTTACATCAGTTAGTATAGTAAAAACATGTACATACTTCTTAACTGTCAACAAACCGTTTTTCAACCTTAAAAAAATGAGTTGATCAATTATGAGCAAAATACGGAAACTTTTTTTAAGAATATTTGAAATCTTGTCATCTAAGTTAGATTGATTATATCCATCACTGTTTATTTTTTTTTAAAATTACCTATAAAAAACGAATAAAAATAGAAAAGTGCTTAAATCAAGCAGTCGGAATTTCTTTTAAAACTTGATCTAAATTAACTTCAGTAAAATCTTTCACTGTTAAATAAGCGCCACACTTGACTAATTTTTCTTTTTCACTTGATGTTAGTAGACCAATACATTTAGTTTGAGCTTGACTAGCTGATGTTACACCGGATGGCGAGTCTTCAAATACTAAACATGATTCTGGTTTCAATTGCAAACGTTTGCACACTTCTAAATAAATAGCTGGATCAGGTTTTCCACTACCAAATTCTTCAGCGACAATAATTGCATCAAAAAATGTATGCTGATCCAATTTCAATATATTTAATTCAAAATCGGCTACTTCTCGAGGAGCATTTGTGGCTAAACCTAAGGAGAAAAAAAATCATTATTATGTATTATTTACTTGACAAGACAAGATGCCAAAATATCATCGATAGTCTACCTATTTTGAGTTGTGTTCGATTTTTTTCAATATATTTTAATATTTCAGATAAACCATTTGTTGGATGAAGTTTTGTTAACGCTAATTCACGAAATAATTTTTCTTTTTGATCAGCTATTTTTTCATGTTCGTTGGTTGATAGTTGAGGAAATAAACCAGATAAAATATTTTCATTCAATTGACCTAGATGTAAAGATGACAGAATACATTTGTAATATCTTTTGCTTAGTTTGTAGTTGATAGATCTTTACGGTAGGGGAAATTGTATAGAAGGTAAGAAGAAAGAATATTTCATCTTGTGACCTTGTCAAGTCTCAGTTTTAATTGCTCGATATCTTTCCCGTAACTGACAAGCTTTTGACATGATTATCCATATCGCTACTCATCTTGAAATATAGCACTGCTCAAGGAATTAGTTGATGCAGAGTTCTGGTGCCTAACGCCCTGTATACACTTATTCTCCATGTACTAGCTTGTTCTAAACAGAAATCTTCATGGGCTAACCTAAGAAATTGAACTGAACATCATAACGTAGTAAGTAACATATCGGTTGATGTAACTTACCACTTATTTTTTCTTCATAAAATTTTTGATCGATTGATTTATGTAAATAATCTTTTAAAATAGTCTGCCATGCTTCGAAATGAATCGAATCTGAATCCTAAAGTGCATATCTACCCCTTTTGAACAAATAAATCAATAGTAAACAAAAGTTATCCATACCACAAGTGTACCATCTAGATCAAATATGATACCATGCATGTTTTAGCAGTTAGACTCTAAAACAAATTGGTACGATACATGTATACTCATGTTATATATCATTTTAGATGATGAAGAGATATTAATTTGTCCACAACTATCATATCTTCTAATCACAGCGAACTGATTTCTCAGAATATATTTCCAATGAAATATCTCCTACAATATAAGAAACTGTCCCCCATCTTATCTTTCGATTTAGCAAAAAATTATTGAAAAACACGTACAAAAATATGTATTTCAAATCTATAGTTACATAAGAAAAAAACGGGAGAGATTAAAAAAATAAATGGAGTTTAAATATTTGAACAATGCGCAAAAAGCTAAAAATATAATTGAGATTATTTTATATCAATACAAACAAATAAAAAAAAGTAGGTACGTAAAAAAATAATATGTTGTCATTTTATATTTGAAACTGTACTTGTTCTTAATGCTTCCTTAGCACTATTTAATAATAATAAATTAAGATCAGGTGTGGGTAGAATATTTTCATGTGCCAAAGCCATACGACGAGGAAAAAAGATATAATCTAATGGATAATCATATAAATTACATACATTAGAAGTATAGATATCAGCAAAACGAGCCAAACGACGATGAAAATAAGTCGGATTATGATAAGTACGAAATATACTACCAAAATGAGGATTAAATAAATCTTTGGTCTTTGATCTAAAACAGATAAGTAATAAACTTCACTGATCATTCAATGAATGTTAATTTCAAACCGCATAGGATTTCTCAACTGTCTCTTTCGATATTTTAAGCTATTCGTTTATGTCATTTTGCTAATAATAAAATATTAGTGCCTTTAGTCTCTTAGTTGTTGTTTTTTCTCTAGATCCTATACAAAAGATAAATCACAAACGTGTCTACGGGATAGATTTACCTTAACTCTTGACGCTCTTCTACCCAACGTTTCATCAAAATATCTGCTTCTGCACCAGGTATAACCTAATACAAAAAGAAAACAAATCGAAATGTTATACTAGAATAAGTAAAAAAAGTACGTACTTGTAATTGATCAATTAACCACTGAAGAATATTTAACCATTTGATAACGTTTTGAAAATTTTCAGAATTAACGGTTTCAATTTCTTCCTAAATTAGAAAAATAGTAGGCACAAATAAGGAATAACATATTATATCAGTGACATACTTTCAATTCTTGAAGAATAGCACCAGTTCTCCAACCGTGCTTCAAAAACAGATCCTTAAAAATAAAAACGATTAAATATTAAAAACTATACAATATAGAAAAACAAAAATAATATATCTCTTACAGCTAAATCTCCATAAATATGATCACCAATATACAAAACATCATTTCCACTCCATGTTGTCAAATCGATAAATGTACCGAGATTTCCCTAAACAGAAAATAATTAAATCTTCATTGTTGTTCATTTTCTTTTTAACGTACCTCAACATAAACATTGGAACTTTTAAATGTTGTAACACGATCCCATGATTTTGCATTATTCTCCGGTTTATATTCACGAAATGGTCTAAAGAAATAAAAATGAGAAATATTAATTTTATATTAAGAGAGAGACAAAACAACTTACTTTTTTTGTGCAGCAAAAAATGTCGGTTTTCTTGCCTGACATATGATAACATTAAATAATTTTCTCCAATCATCTCCAACTAAATAATTCATACCACGCTCAACAAACCAATAACTCGAATTTGTAATCATAAATATTTGTTTATTTGCAGCACGTAAACGTTCAAGTAATTGATGTAAACGTGTATGTGGTTCAAAATATTTTTCTAGATAAACAAAATAGAGGTAATTACAAAAGTTTCAGAATATATTTACAAAAACTAACCTACTTCGTTTCCCACTAAATTGTGTAGTGCACCTTTATGGAATTGAGTAACAGCATCCTAAAAGTAGCAAGAACTAGATGTATGAATATGTAACGGGTGTTACAGAAAGAATAGCCTAGTTTTTATTTTCAGTTTTTCTCCACTCCCTTTGAACTCACAGAGTTCATCTTATTACCAAAAGATTCCTCATGCATTTCTCTACAAAATGGTGTATAGAAGATGATCTTAAGGTTTAAGACGCTGTCTTAACTGAACAAACATCGAAATGTTCGAAAAACTTATAAACTTTAACACAAAAAAGTGCATTTCGTCAGTATGAAGTTGAACATATACGCTGTATCTAGAGCAAGTAGGCGAAAATGTAGCCCTTATAATTCTCTACCGATCAGATATAATGCAGATTTTCGATCGTTATTTCTGTGTTTTCAGTAAAGATTTTTGCAAAAGCCCTATGACTGTTTTTTCGCCCTTTTCAATCTGCATTTTGGGGCTATTTGTAAAACGAATATTGCTCAGACAAAACTGCATCAATCAGGCTCATTCTTGCGTCATTTTGAAGACAAATGTTTGGTCTACTTGACTCACGTGCGAAACGCTTGATGTAACTTTTCTGAATAATGGAGATGTTGAAACTAGCGCATTTTGTTCAGTAATGGCTGTCAGTTATTAACCGGTCATTTTTACCACATCCCCGGGAAGTGCGCCATCTGAAAGAGGACATTTAAACGTCCTACGAAATGTGCTGTCATTTTCCAGTCACTTTCAAAGTGGAGTTCAAACTTCAAAATTATCGTTTTTTTGACATTTCGATGTTTGTTCAATTATGACAGCATCTCAAACCTTAGGATCATCTTCTATCCACCAGTTTGTAGAGAAATGAATGGGGAATGTTTTGATACTAAGATGAGCTCTGTGAGTTCAAAGAGAGAAGAGAAAAACTGAAAATAAAAACTACGCTATTCTTTCTGTAACACCCGTTATATAAATGACTGGATACATACTCGAACATCATAATGTACATATTCGGCACCAAATGCAATACCACGTACAATAAAATACTAGCAATGGAAACAATGACTACTCGCACCACCATTTAACGTATATTCTACATACTTGCATAACATCTCTTAGTAAAGTTATTTCTGGTATGCTAAAGATATCAACAAACTGATACATATTTGAACTCTAAAATAAGAAAAGAGAAAAATATATATTGCTAACAAATGGTATTTTATTAATTTAAGTAAGTGACATACCATTCCAAAATATCCAATTGCATCAATCGATAATCGTGTACCCTTGTGTGCAGCAATAACATCTTTATCTGGCACAGGATTCATACCACTGAAAACATAGCCGTAGATCATTTTTTAATTTAAGTTATAGATAATTGGATAAATATTATTTACTGATAAACTGTTCCCAATTGTATATTATGATAAGAATCAATTTTCATTAACCATCCACGTGCAATATCCAAATGAAGACCACGAGCACCCAAACCAGGAAGATATTCTAGTTTTAATATATCCTCAGGATACTAGAATATAAAATATACACAAATAGTATGACAAAACATATCATGTTATCTACTTTAAATTTTTCGACTAAATATGTTTTAGCATGATCATAAATGAGATTATGTAATGTTGGCCTATATCTGGCTAATGTATAATCAAAATCAAAACCATATATCTTAATATCATTTAAATTTAACTCATTATTAGCAAATACACCATTTGGTGACATTAACTGAGAATAGGCAACATCTAAATAATAGACGAGTGTAAAACATTCTATATTGAATTAAAAAAATATTTACTACTCGATTCTGATTCATCTTTCAACAACTCGTACAACTGTTGTAATTCATGAATTTGTCGACCAGTGAAATAACGCTTGGCTGTAAGAGAATGAAAACATTGTTGAACATGACATAGTGTAATATGTGTAACAAATTTCATCTAAAAGATACAAATATCAATATTATATTCAACATAATGTAATATATAATAGCCAGTGCTTGCATATCGTATGATCAAACCAAACCAATCCAATCCATTTCTTGATATAAACAGTTACTCTAGCAAAAAAGAATTTTTCACTCAATTTTTTTCAAAAAAGACACTAAACAAACATTGTTCTTCTGTTTTATCTAATATAGTAATAAAACAAAACGATGTAATGATTATTGACTACTGAATATCCTTAGAATGGCGAATAATTACGATCGATCTCTTTCAAATCTTCAACTTTATATTCCTTCTTATTGAAAAACATTTCCAATTGTTTGTCAAAACGTTTAACTATAGTAGATTTCAAGAATATCATTCTGTTTTCATGTCTGGAACACGCTGTTCTTCTACACAACCATAAGAGGTGGGTCATTCAATAAATGGTATGCTGAATGAAAGTTCCACTCTCTTCGAAATGTACGTTGAAAACTGCATACTGTTTATTTAACCATTCATTATTCACAAAAGAAAATCGAATTTTTTTTTCTAAAATCTGATTGACTAATCTACCATTTTGTCATGAAACTTTTTATACAATTGTTAGTTCTAGGCTGTATTTGTAACATATCTTGACTGGAAAATATTAACAGTAATAAGAATTTGCATATATTACGTTGTTTATCATGAGATCGGCAGCGACAGCGGACGACTGTAGCATTTTTCTGGAAAAAAGTGTGCAGAGTAAACGTATTCTGTTTCATACAACCGTCTTTGATATGGTTTAAAATTAGAATTTGTTGATTTACGAATATACTTGCTAAACAGATCAGCTAAACATATTCTAGATATTCGTAGCTTTTTTGTGAGTCTGGATGCTATTACAATTTTCATCGGATGTTACAGGGCTTAAACACGATTAGGGATAATACCAAACGACGTGTGTGTGATTATTCATTGAACGATAAGAATAGACTTATCCTTTATAAGTCAATCTCTCCGCACATGCAATTTTTCACGCATCCTTGTGTTACCACATTGTGAACAAAAGTTCCTGAATTTTTCCTGATGACGGCTCTAGTAGTTTTTATTATCATCGCTTGTAATTGATTTACTCTTATGCAATTGTAAGCGACACGAATAAAGATCGGCAAGAATTGCCGTGCCATAATCATGCAGCACTGTCTTCTCTTAGAAGGAAACATACATCTGAAGCATTACGAGCATACTAATAGGCAGACGTTGATGCAACAAACTCTGGTCGACATCCACACAAAAGAATCGCCCTGGTAGCATAGGGACTTTTTCCAACACTTTAGTGACCACTCACAAAGAGAGAATTTTTCCAAGTACTTTTAGAAGGAATGCTTCATTAATAATTCTTGTTCATGTAAAACAAAATAGTGAATAACTCCCGACATCAAAAATATACATGATTGTTTTCTGCATAAATCCTTCAATAATTCTCAAAAATCGTGACTTTTTTCCTCGAAAAGCCATAAAATCGAAAAAATAGAGGCAACGGCACAGCTCCTCTGGATGACACTGTAAAGCTAATGTAAGAGAACTTATTCCCTTTAAGAAAGTTTTTCACCATTTGTTGTGCACTGAGTAATTTTTCTGAGCACGGTGTGTACTAGTGCTAAGTATTGTTTTTCAAGTACTATACCAATTTGTTTTGATAAATAAATAGGAGTGAATAAATACATGTCTCCACACAACATTGAAAAATGGCCGTGGGAATTTTACGGACGGACTGTATCCGAAAAACATTTGAATTTTAGAATGCGTGAGGAATAACAGCCAGAGAGGATAAAAGAAAAAAACATTTATCGATAAAAGTGGACCATTCATAATTTCTTTTCCCAGTGCAAATAGATGGCGCTAGTCAACGTGATTAGTCCATATCTAAATATTCACGGTGAAAAGAAAGGTTTAGAAGGCAAAATTGTGAAGAGCTAGTTTAAGAGTGAAAACATTAAGACATTCGACAAAGAATAAGCTTTCTTTCAGACTCAACGATGGACCAAAAAGTTTCACCGGATTTTGCCGCTTCCTCCCTCGTCCTTTTTTTTCTAGGTTAATGGTGTGTATATAACCTTTCTGACAAAAGTTTCACCTACGCTTTTCGTAACCATAGGTTTCTATGATTATTTTCTTATAATTATGATGCGCATTGACTGCAGATTCTATAGTAGAAAGAGCGACCCTTAGTTCCTCACTCTCGCTCCTCTATGTATGTTTCAATCGTGAGTGCTCGTTCTCAATGAATTTCCAGAACCACACAATAGTTAACCTTCACAGTTTTACTGGATAATCTACAGTCGTCGAAGGGTATTTGTTGTGAGTTTGAAGTGGAACTGATGTTCTTAGAATGAGTTACGAATTTTTCTTGGAAAGGACCTCACATCTCAGAATCTCATTTCCAGGTACCCTCCCCGTAAAATAGCTGTATTTCACTGACTACTAACAGCCAGCTCACAAAATTTTATATCATAGATACAGTAGAGTCGTGGCTACATTTTAGTAAAACCAAAACGTTTTCACCTGTCTTAGGTGAGGAGCTATTGATATTTGACGAAAAAGACATAAAGCGTTTATATCTCACGAACCATCTAGTAAAAGAGGCCCATATTTGATGGGTGATCAGCATTCGGTAACAGCCATGACTACACAAAATTAGAAGTCCCTAGCTATCATGGTTCTAGAGTTACAGGGGTTTGCTACTTTTGCGGAGTACTGTATCTTATAAGATCTGATGAGATCTTACAGCTTCATATGTTATGATCTTATAAGATCTTACAAGATCTTGTAGGACTTCTAATTTTGTGTAGTCATGGCTATTACCGAATGCTGATCACCCATCAAATATTGGCCTCGAAATACTCGGTAGTTTCCCAGGAAACTCACAGGTCCAACGTCGTTCATGTTTATAACATCCATTGGTTTTCTCGTGAATTACGCCACTTTATATATCATGTGATAGAGAATTTCAGGGGTTCCAAATGGGCTACGAATAAATCTTTCACAAATACGCCCGCATTGGTCAATTCTGAGCAAAATAAGACATCTGCCGGCATTCTATAGTAAATCGACTGCAATTACGTGAAAAAGCACTATGGAATGTTGGGAGATGTCGTATTTTGCTCAGAATTCTTCGCTCTATTAGGCTATATGGTTTGTAATATTTTTTGACCAAAAACTATGGACTTGGTTTTCCAGCGGTCAGGTTTTCCAGAAGCTCTATTATCAACTTTTCTCATGAAGGGCGATATATACCTCATCTGATAGAAAAATCTTTGCGCTATTCAAAACATTATTCAGATTGGTTTCAGCTTTTCCTAAAAACTCAAAAACAGGGGAGTGCTTGTGATTATGACACGCTGCACTACTTAGATAACACCCAAAAGCTGATCAAAATCATTTTGAAGCCCGTGAAATTCTTTATCGAATGATATGTAAAGTGGAGTGGTTAACGGCAAAATCAATGAATACTATAAACATGAACGACGTTGACCTACCGGTTTCCAGTGATCCTAATGAGTATTTCGGATCTTAGACTACCCAGTTACATTTTTGTAAGACTATATATATCATTTTGAAGACCGTGAAATTCTCTATCCAACGATGTGTAAAGTAGAGTGGTTAACTATAAAATTAGTCACCGTTATCAACATGACAACGCTGACCTACGATGAAAGTCAAAAAACCTGTCAAAGCAAATACTATTCAATTCGGTTTTGGTAAAAATCCCAGTAATTTTTCGACGTGAAAATTCGAAAAAAACTAAAGTTGTCGGATGGTATAAAAAGGTGCATCAATCGACTCGGTACCGCATTTCTCTTATTTTCAAGGAAGCAGTTGAAGAGCTAATTTAAGTTCTTTGAGATACAGAGAATTTAGTTTTTCAACAAAAAGCGAGTTTTTCACTTTTTTTAGTTTTCTAACTTTAGGAGTAACTCTAACTTTTTTTTGGTGCATTAAAAGAATTCATCAATGCACCTACTTAATTCTCTACGCTTTGTTTACATTAACTTTAGATCAAAAATGAAAATTTAAAGGAATACTAAAGTGGTTTTTGACGCAGTTTGTATTGCAATATATACTAAAAACACGCCTGAAATGCTGAAACGGTCCACAGTATACAAAAAACTTTTACTTTATAATTTTGTGTCTGAGACGAGTCAAAAAAATTTCTGCAGTTTAGCTATGGCACCTTCTTTTCTACCCGGCATCCAACTAAAAAACCTTTTTAGAGAGTAGCACAAATAATACCGATACTTATAAAACTTTGAAGTATTTGAGCAAATAATTGTCAGGCATTGATCTATAAAAACACTTTTCCAGTATCTGACTGAGTACTTTTCGAAATTTGCAAGTACGCAATCTCCAGCATATTCACTAGAGTATACACCATAATCAAAATTTAATTAATGCGGTGAGAAGCATACAGCATTCTAGCAATCAACTGTTTTTACTTTCTAGGCTACAAAACTGTCATTTTCTGTAACAATTTTCTTGTAAACTAGAATGGCTACTGTAAAATTTTTAACTGGAGCAGTGAGCTGTGAGGCCGAATTATTAAATGTCCTTTTTTGAGACTTTGTTGCTAATCCAGTCATTAACTAGAAGGCTCGAAAGAAGGTGTTTTATATGTTTGAGACTTGTAGTTTTTTCAAAAAAAACAGGATAATTAGCAAGGGGGAAAAAGCATACTTCTGTACTTCTGGTACTTCTCCGTACTTCTTGATACTTCTTCGTACTTTTTTGTACTTCTCCGTACTTCTGAAGTACGAAGTACGAAATACGGTTCGTATTTAACAAAACAAAACGAGTTCTCTGCTGCTGTATCCTTCATTCTCTTGATCCTGCTTCGCACCGCATTCGCAACTCTCGCTAGCGTGACTGCCGTCTAGTTGTACCTAGGAATGAGTGCTGAATTCTTTCAATAGTCATTTTTTCGGTTTGTAGTTATTATAGTTACAGCAAGCCATGATAGTTATCTCAAGTAAATCATGACGTAAACACTACATTCCAGCTGATTTGCTCCATCTTTAATTCATTGTGCAGAGAAGTGTCAGTCGTGAATTTAGATTTGATGGAAGGTTTATATATTTCATATAGGAGATATGTTAAATGTATATCCACGCTTAATAATCAGAAAAACGGTCGAATACACCTCTCTGCAAGCCATACACATGCACATTAGCGCTGCATATGGACTGGACAGAACTCGAAAGTTTTTGGAATCCTGGACTTAGACTGGATTTGAACTCAAAAAGTGCTAAAACCATGTACTCAAACACTGTCAGCAATCATAGTGTGTAA